CAGGCACCAACGTCCTGGTTTCACAGTTCTGTAGAAGGCACTGGGATTGGACTGTCCCCAAAGACAGCCGGGGGTATTTCCTGAGGAGATTGCCCATGGCCGCTTGGTCTCCTCCAGCATAGATCCGGCAGGCTGCCTCTCTGCATCCCTCATCCACCTCCTCCTCTCCCATACAGAGGAAATCAGTGTTTCTCTGCCTTTTCCAAGCCAATTTTTGGAAAGAAAGAGGGGAAGCAGGAGGGATAAAGTAAAACTATTCTGATAAACAAGTGGGCATTTCTTGCTAGGAGTAATTTGTTTTTCCACAAATATAATGCATTTAAATTTTTCGACAAATCTTAATCTATGGGGTTTTAGAGACTTCTCAACGTGTCACGTCATAGACATACCACAGTGAAAATGGTCAATTTTCAAAAGTATTGTAAACAGTCGGGCAGCAAACATCTATACACCAAAGGCTAGGAACATACTCTGGGATAAATTCCTATCAACAATTGTGTGTGGATATCACCCCTCTGCCCCGTGTATGAGGTGTGTATGTGTGTACAAGCATGCTCATTCAAAACTCTCACACGGCGTCTAGAATAGCTCCTCCGTATACATCACCATATACATCACCCTGTACAGCCACACCATACATTAATGTAGTATTTTCTCACTTTAAATGTCTGACCCAAGTTCTGGCACATCGTGTAATAGGACTGTGACCCTGACACTTCAGCAGGAGGATTCCTGTCCTGGTCGTTACTGTGCAGGCCATGAGGACCCCAGGCTGCCAGCCTCGTTGGGTTCAGTGTGGCCGTGAGGAGCTGTCCCTGCTCCTGGGATGCTGGTGCCTCTGATGCAGCAACTACCCACCACCCAGCCCCCATCTCTTGCAGGGATGATCCTAGCTGTCCTGCTCCATCAGGACCACCTTCCCACACCACCCCAGCCCTGATGCAGGATGCTGGTAGGCTCACAGCCCTTATCATCATCCATGGCCGACACACTGCCCCACACCACCACCTCTGTGGTCTCACCACCCGAAGTCAAAGGCCACACAGAGCTGGCTCTCCGGCCTCTTCCAGGGGCCATCAGGGAACTGGGATCCTTGTCACCCATTTCCAGGCTGGTCACACCAACAAAGGGAAAGAGGCTAGGGGTTCCAGGTAGAGGCCTCTGCCAGGATGGGTGGGCAGAGGCACCTTAGAGAAGGTGAAGAAGGGGCAGGTCTTGGAAGGGCCTGGAAGAATCTTCTTTTGCCTCATGTGGCCTCACCAGTATCCGGGAAACCGGGACTTACCCCCTTGTTTTGTCCTCTAGTCCTACCCCACCACGGAGCAGCTGGCCCAGGAACTCATGGGATAAGGGTTGGCCCAGCTTTGGGGGGCAAATAGTTTGTGTCCTAAGGGTAGGGAACTTGATGGATGGCAGCACTAGGTTCCTTGTGCCAGGCCCAGACCCCTGAAACACCCTCTGAAATCTCCACTGTTATCCTTGGGGTCCCCAGAAGGTCTTAGGCCTCTCTTGACTGTGGGTTCCCAGGCATGTACCAGGCAGCCAGGCCCATGTTAGCTCACCCTGGGCTTTTTGCCCGTCTTTGTAGCCTTTTACTTTCAATTGTCACTCTGTAAACATGAATCAGGAAAGAACGTGTAATAGGCAAAAAAAGGACTCACCCTCACCTGTCCTTCCAGAAGCTTCCGTCAGGCCAGGGAGACAGGCGGGTCTTAGCAACGGTTTATTGGCAAATGATTTCATGGAGGGGAGCCGAGAAGTTTTGGGAGGTGGCTGAAGCCTCCGTGAGCAAGACAACTCAGCAGGACTCCAGTGGCTACAGTCCTGGTGTACCAAGGCTAGTCCACGGAACCTGGGGACAGCTTCCCCCTGGGAGTTCGGTATTTGTTTTTCTGCCGGTAGAACAGATTTCTCTGGAAAAGGCGGGGAAGGTGGCCCTGATGGAGTAGGACAGCCAGGGTCATCCCTGCAAGAGACGGGGTCAGATTATGGAACAGCCCGGACGTAAGAGCCCAGGCCCTCCCTGGCCTGGCTCTTCCTGGCCACATCCTTTCTCTGGGTCCTGCCCCTTAGTGCTGAGAACACGCTGCCTAGATAGCCCATGGAGCACTCATGGGAGATTAGGATCCTTCTAGATTGTGCTCTGGAGACCCAGGACTCAGGATGTCCCACGCAAACGTCCCATGCCATTTTCCAGTGCTATATTTTACAGCCTCTCTTTCAGGCTGCCTCTAAGGGTGGCATGGTGGGCAGGACTGCTTTCAGTGAGGAGTAGTTTGGGGGAGGGGGCATGCTGGATAGTTTTATGTCAACTTGACACAAACTAAAGTCATCTAGAGGAGGAAGCCTCAGTTAAGAAAATGCCTCTGCCTGGTGGTGGTGGTGGTGGTGGTGGTGGTGGTGCACACCTTTAATCCCAGCACTTGGGAGGCAGAGGCAGATGGATCTCTGTGAGTTCGAAGCTAGCCTGGTCTACAGAGCAAGTTTCCAGGACAGCCAGGGATATACAGAGAAACCCTGTCTCAAAACAAAAACAAAAACAAAAACAAAAACACCTCCATAAGAGTGGGGTATAGGCAAACCTATAGGACATTTTCTTAATAAGCAATTAATGGAAGAGGGCCCAGCCCAAATTGTGCTTGGTGCCATCCATGGGCTGGTGGTCCTGGATTTTATAAGAGACCAGGCTGAACAACCCAGAGGGAGCAAGCCAGTAAGCAGCTCCCCTCCATGACCTCTGCATCAGCTCCTGCCTCCAGGTTCTTGCCCTGTTTGAGTTCCTGTCCTGACTTCCTTCAATGATGAACAGTGATGTGGAAGTATACATCAAATAACCCCTTTCCTCCCCAAGTTGTTTTGGTCATGGTGTTTCATCGCAGCAATGATAACCCTAAGACAGGGAAAGAGCAGGGTTAGACCTGGGTTGGGAAGGACTCGGGAGCAGGAGCGGGAAGCTGGCTCAATCTCCATGTTTTCACTGGTGTTTTGAGTCCCATGGTTCTCAGAGGGACCAGCTAGCCAGGGAAGGAGGGGAGATCCCAAACAGCAGGTCCCCCTCCCCCCTCCCCTCCTCCCCATCCCCACACCCACTCCTCTATTCAGAAAAGGGCAGCTCTCCCATGGACATCAACAAAACATGGCATACCAAGTAGCAGTAGGACTAAACTCCTCCCCTTGTACCAAGACCGGACAAGGCCACCCAGGGTGAGGAATAGGCTCTGGCTGTTAGGAGTCCCACAAGTGGACCAAACCACACAACTGTAACATATATGCAGAGGGCCTAGGTCAGTCCCATGCAGGATCCCTGGTTGTCGGTTCAGACTCTGTGAGCCCCTATGAGCCTAGGTTAGTTGATTCCGTGGGGGGTTTTTTGTTTGTTTGTTTGTTTTGTTTTGTTTTGTTTATTTTGTGATGTCCTTGACCCCTCTGGCTCCTACAATCCTCCCTCCCTCTCTTCCATAGGATTCCCTGAGCTCTGCCTAATGTTTAACTGCCTTGGTCTTTTTTTGGGGGAGGGGGAGGCAGGGGCGTGTTTTTTTGTTTTGTTTTGTTTTTGTTTTTTTTTTTTCAAGACATGGTTTCTCTGTGTAACCTCTGGCTGTCCTGGAACTCACTCTGTAGACCAGGCTGGCCTGGAACTCACAGAGATCCTCCTGCCTCTGCCTCCCGAGTGTTGGGATTAAAAGTGTGCGCCACCACTGTCCAGCTCCTCAATGTTGAATTCTAACTAAACTTTGTAAGCTTTTGTTTTTGTGTTGGCGACTTCTAGATGAAGATGGAGACTGGAGCCAGGCATGGTGACATGCCCGTCATTCTATCACACCAGGCAGGAGGATCACAAATTATAAGTACGAGGGCCTGCGTTTGGTCTCTAGAACCTATGTATAAAAAGCCAGACAAGCCAGATACAGTGGTGCAAGCCTTTGATCCCGGCACTCAGGAGACAGAGGCAGATGGACTTCTATGAGTTTGAGGCCAGCCTGCTCTACGTAAAGAGTTCCAGGACAGCCAGGGCTCCATGGAGAGACCCTGTCTCCAAGCTTACCCCAAAAAGCAAGATACAGTGGTACACACTTGTAATCCCAGCACTGGGGAGGAAGAGTCAAGAAGACCCCTGGTGCTCGCTGGCCAGACAGTCTATCCCGCTCCGAGCGCTCTCTCAAAAACACAAATAACCAAGGAATGACATCCGAGGTTGGCCCCTGGCTTCCGTGTGCACCCGCGTGTGTACTCACATACATGATCACGTGTACACACATGCACATACACCTACACACAAGTTAACTAAAGCTGAAAAATCATAGAGGAGCCCTGTAGTGTGTGTGTGGGGACAAGGGGGGTAAATTGGAAGCAGTCCCCAGAAGAGTGGCCCATGGGGCAGAGAGAGGGGTCTTATCTTTTCTATTACATTACAAGAACCTAGGTTACTGGTGGTGAGACCGTCTCCCAGGCATCATGCCAAGCTTGTGTTTGTGGGGAGAGCTGGGACTTCTGTCTCCGTTCCGTTCCCCCACCCCTGGCCCCCCGGGTTGAGGCTCTGCCCTGAGTCCTGCCGAGTGTGGACCTGGAAGGAGTGGAGAGTTTGCAAGTGGACGTCAGTCATCAGGTAAAGCCATGAATGGTGTGGGAACACCTAGTGCCTGGGCCCAGTGCCACAGAGGAATTTACCAGAACCAGTATTTCCCGGATCCTGGAGCTAGGGACATCTGGTGGCCTTCTCTGGATTACTCTAGCCCAGGGGCTTTCCCTGCTATTCCTCATTCAGACCTTGATGACTGGAGGGGGTCCCCTTTGTGCTTCAAGGGGTCACAGGGCAGACCTACGAGGAGCTACAGGCCCTGACCACTCAGGGCTGCGGCCCCAAAGGGCATGCGGTCATCCAAGCGTGTCCCAGAGGCCCCATGGTGGCAGCACCCAGAAAGACAGCTTTAACTGGGTGTGTAAAGATGCCGTGAGGAGAAGGGAACCCAGACACAAGTGAACCCATGCAGCCTGTCTCTGCTGCCCATACAGAGCCCTCGGGTGTCAAATTCTCCATACCCCACTCTCCACCTAACACCATCACCCTCCTCTGTGACCGTCCCAACCAAGACATACCCATGTCAGTCACTTCCTCCAACTGTCCACACTGCAGAGACCAGGAGAACAGATCTGAAACCCTTGAGGCCCCAGCCCCCAAGATCCTGGGGAGCCAGGAAGGGTGGCAGCATTGTGAATCTGTAGGCAGCCATGCCCTGTGTGTCTGTGTCTGTGTCTGCCCATGGACACTACCCAGGCCGGCCTTGCCCCCCACAGCTCACCTGCCACAGGACCCAGACAATACACATGGGCATACTCCAGCAAGGTGTTCCCAGAGCAGTGGAATGTGACAGAGGCAGCCAGGGCAGGATTGAAGAAGGCAGAGGTGTAGGGTCCAGCTGTGGACAGAAGCACAGAATCCTCATGGGCTGGCTCTGGCTGAAGCTACCGCCTCTGAGACCACACCGTTAGGCATGGGCTTGGGCTCTTGGCACTAGGGGACTGGGGGCAGCTGCCCTCCCTGTGGCATGCTGATGAGCACAGAGGAACAAGGCTGGAGCAGCCGAGGGCAAAGGTCACAGGGGAGGAGCTGGGACCAAGGTCGTACCAGGGGTGTCTGACACACTCCCCCGTCCCTCACCCCGAGACTCCTGTATCATGAGCCCTCCGATCCAATGCCCCTACCTTCTGGAAGGTGGCCCAGAGAGGTATGAGGAGAAACATCAAAGGCTGCAGGGAGGGAAAGAGAAAGGGGGGGCAGACACACCAAGGGAGGACCAGAGCCAGAGAGGGAACTAAAAAACAAAACAAAACAAAACCAACACCAAAATAAAACAAGGAGACGGGGTGTGTGTGTGTGTGTGTGTGTGTGTGTGTGTGTGTGTAAAGAGTGAGACAGGGAGACTGAGATAAAAACAGCAACAGGGACAGAGATGTCACCTTCAGGCCTTGAGATAACTACAGAGAAGTCACCAGCTGAGAACCCACAGGAGAGAAGCCAGGGGAGGGGAGCAGTTGAGCCAGTTACGATTTTTCAAGCCACACCAGGAAGCAGACAATGGCGTGGGGGAGGCAGAGCAGAGCCTGGGCCTCAGGAAGAGCAAGTACTGTGTGGACCTGGACCTGGGTGCAGGTCACAGGCAGCTCTGCTGTGGGAGGTGAGAACCCTGGCCCACAGGGTAGGACACAGCCGCCCCTGGGCATTCTGCGGCAGACCACCACCCTCCCCTGCTCTCTTGCACTGCTGGCCTCAGTTTATCCTCTCTGATCAGGGTGTTGGAGGTCTTTCTCGTGATCTTTCTAGTATAGGTCGCAAAGTCTTGAGCTGGCTTGGCTCAGCATTGACTTGTGCTGTTTCTGCTTCCTGGGCTCTTGGCCTCTTAGAACAAGCCTTTAGAAACCTCAGCTCTGGGCTGGAGAGGTGGCTCAGCGGTTAAGAGCACTGGCTGCTCTTCCAGAGGTCCTGAGTTCAATTCCCAGCAATCACAAGGTGGCTCACAACCATCTCTAACGGAATCTGGCGCCCTCTTCTGGCCTGCATACAGAACACTGCATACAAAATAAATCTTAAGGGAGGGAGGGAGGAAGGAAGGAAGGAAAAGAAACCTCTGCATCTGGCATGATGCAACATCCACAGAGCCTGTAGCTCTCGGGAGCAGCTGGTCAACAGCCTGCGGTGCTCCCCTGTAGTGCTCCCTGTCCTGGGATCCCATCTACGGATGCCTCCCTCCAGGTGGATCCCAGGGCTGACAAGTGACATCTGGGAAACAAAATCAGAGTGTAGGCTTTGAGTCGTCCTGAGCAGCGCCCGCAAGAGCACCAGAGACCACCAAAGCCTAGTCAGGATGCCGGCATGGCCAGGACAGAGGTTACAGGCATGAGGGGCTACTGCTGTCTCAGGACTGAGTGAGGAGGGTGGAAGGGAGAGAGAAATCAACAAGAAATGGTTGCCCTGTATGGAGTGTTCGAGGGTCTAGGAGCATCCAGAGCACAGCCAGGACCAAACCTTGAACTGCCTAGCTGCTCCCGCTGCCCCAGATGTAATAAACATTGCAGCTGGGAATTGAGGAGAGGTATATGGGACACGGCTCCCCTACACACAATGTCCCCCCTCCCCCGGGGCTAGCCTTCCAGCCCCTACCCGCCTGTCAGGGCCCCAAGAAGTCACCACAAGGACTTGTGGGACCCTTGGCCAGAAGAACCCCTTTTGGGTACCAGTGAAGGTGTTGAGGTCCTGACAGGTCCGGCAGAAAGGGGAGCGGGTCTCACCTGTGTAGGCCATGACCGTGACCAGCAGCGCCAGGGCCGGCACCCTGTAGACAAGAAGGCTGCGCTGCAGGCGGAGGAGGCTCAGATGAAAGAAGAAGGTGCAGGCGCCCTCCACCAGCGTGCCCTGCAGCACGGAGGTGCGCAGGGTCGAGCTGCAGTGCACAGCCATGAGGCTCTGCAGCAAGTGCAGGTCACTGAGTTCCCAGGCCCAGAGGCGCTGCGTCAGGGCGGCGGCGACCTGCGCGCCCAGCACCTGGGCCGCCACTTTCAGCAGGGTGCCGGGCAGCGAGGCCTCCGCCATGAGGAACTCCTGGAAGGCCACAGTTGGGTTGGCGGAGGCCCCGTCAAAGGTGACCCCGTGCACCACGAAGAGCAGGAAGACCAGGGTCAGCAACAGGTCGGGCCCGAAGCCCCCAGCCCAGGGGCCGAGTTCCACCAACACTCGCATCTCTAGGCAGCAGGCTGCCAGCTGGGCCGCACCCAGGGCCTCCCGGGAAAAAGTGACGTAGGTACCCGCTGGGAGCAGGGCTTTCGAGATCCTCCTGGCCACCTCACAGAGGGCACAGGTGGCAAAAAAGAAAGAGAGGGACACGTTCAGACTGGCCATCGCTCTGGGGTCTGCAAGGAGCCGTGCTGAGCAAGGACCTGGTGCCGCGTGGGAGGCCGGCTGGCCCCACGGCCCAAGGACAGAGGAGCTGTAAGAGAATGCACCTGGCTACTGGGAACACCACACCTGTGCCCCTTACAAGTGACAGCGCCGGTCACAATGCCAAGTGCTGAAAGGAACACCCACAGAGGGCCCGCCTTGCTTAGTGAAGTCCCTGGGCTGAGGCACCCTGCCCCCCTCCCCCCACACACACACACTTTCCTCTCCCACCAGCCTGGAGACAGGCCACCTTCTTCAAAGCCACCATGAGGTCTATGACTCATACCCGGGGCGGGGGTGGGTGGGGGTGGGGGTGGGGTCTGACACCAGGATCACAACACCTCTTCCCAATGTCTACATTGTCTCCACTTGGTCGCTCATTGCCCTGCAACTGTACAATGTCCCCTCCTGGGAAGGATCCTTAGAGCCGCAATCACACTGGCTCACTAACTCCTGGAATTAGCCAAGAAGTAGCTGCCACACTGGGACCCGCTGTATGGGCCAGTTCCCCACACTCACTCCCCCATGCCCACGGAAAACCAGGGCCCCAGGAGGGAGCTCCTGGCTGCAGGACACCACGACTGCAGAAGTGGGCCCTTCACCGTGCTTTTGGTTTTTCTGCCTGGCCGTGTACGTCAAACGAGATATACTTTTAAAAAGAAAGACCTAGAAGAAGTGTTTGACAAAATGATTGGCTGAGAAGCACTACTGCTTCCTACAGACCCCAGGATGTGTTGGCCCAGGATGAGGGCATGGTGTTACCTGTCAGGGGACAATGCCCTACACAGCACCCTGCCCCTGCACTGTGTACAGATGAGATGCACGGGCAGGTACCTTCCTGAGGTCATAGGTTAGGCTGCGGCTCTCAGGTCAGGATTAGAGGAATCAGAGGAGTTGGGGACATTATGGGGACTCTGCGCTGGACCCTGGTCAGGCTGCAGAGCATAAAGGCTAGAGGTCACTGGGGTGGGGGCTTGTCATAAGGACACCACAGAGACACTCATGGGACAGGAGGATGAGTCTGCATTCAGAGGGGATGCTGGAGGTGTCTTCCAGGCACAGGGCAAGCCACACAAAGTCTTCTATGAGGGGGACTGTGAGCTTCCTTCACACACGCTGGTCCTGAGAGAAGAGTAAAGTAGGTCTAGACAAAGCATGTCCCCAACCACAGGAGGGACATTTCCAGAAGATGCTGCTGTGATGAAAAAAATCAGACTGAGGTCTGAACAGTGTTCCCCAAGACACCACTATGGTTCCAGAAAGGGGTGAAGTGTGATGGGGATAGACAACAGAGTGAAGGATCGGGGGTGGGGGGGGGCGGGGGACACCTGCTTGCCTGGTCCCCCAGCAGTCCCAGAGATGAAAGCTCTCTAGGCCCCACTGAGGTCAGATTAGGGAACTCAACTGTAGTGATCAGTGGGAGGCCGAGAAACAGGCCTGGTGTCCAGCTTCTGACTCCCCGGGGAATAAGAGCAGTAGCAGGCTGGCTGCTCCTTGTGGTGTGGACTTCCGTCTAGCATGTCAGGGCACATTTCATGTGGAGGGCGGGAACCAGTGCCACTCTTCCACCAGAGAACATTCTGGAAGCTGCAGAGCCTTGGATCATGGGTGGAAGAAGGAAGATTCTCTGCAGGGGATCATGGGAGAAAGGGTCCAGGTGATACCCCCCATATCCTGACCCCAACACTCCAACATCTGCCTCGCGCCTTCTCCTTGGTGGCTCTTTTCTCCATCCATAGTGGGGGTCTTTGGCCAGGGAGCCTTTTGGACGTTTTGCTCTGGTCTCTGACCAGTTACTCCCCGACAGCACCAATGTGACACAGCGCGCACACACGTGCACATTCTGGAGCCAGGTGATTTAAGGATTCCTTCCAGCCCTCGTCCCTCTCACGACTGTTTGCTATCCGGTATCTTTGCATATCATACACACTTCAGCATCAGTGTGTCAACTTCCATTTTAATCTTTATAAAGATTTTTATTTTCTTTTCATTACAAGTCTGTGTGTGGATTTGTACACATGTGTGCAGGTTCCCACAGAGATTAGAGTTGGATCCCTGGGAGCTGGGCTTGTGGGCTTGTGGCCTGCCTGGCGTGGGTGCTGGGAACCGAACTTTGGTAAGAGAAGTATGTGCTCTTACAGGCCTCCACTTTAACTTTAAAATCTTGTGGAATTACGGCTGGAATTGTGTTGAATCATAGAGCAGGGGGAAATGAGTATTGCTATTGAAGAACAGGAGGATCTTCCATGTGGGATGTGTTAGTTTTTGTCTCTTTGCGTTGCCCCGAAGAACCTCCAGGGCCTGGGATGGCGAGAAGTGCAGGCAGTGAGTGTACCACGTCGCTGTCGCTCCAGACCTTTGTTAAGGTCTCGCCCCGCCCCGTCACCAGCACGCGCCAGGGCTTCTATAGATGCCTTTGGTCAGGTTGACGGAGTGTCCCCCTGTGGCTGGTTTATCAAGAATGGATATCAGAGTTTGTCTGGGAAGCTTTCCACTTCTGAGACATTACAGGCAGCAAAAGTAGGTACCAGGGTACAGCCTCCAGCTTATTCCTGCCTTTGTTTTGTAAAAAGCCTCATCTGCACAAGCCACTCCCTCCTCCTCATCCCTCCTGAACTGGGTCCAAGTTGGTTTGCCCCATCAGCACCACGGCCCCTCCCTCTGGACCAGCCCTCTTGAACTCACCCCTCAGCCCTCACCGTGAGCAGCCAAGGCTACTCCGTTGAAGAAGTGGCAGCGGCGGTGAAGATTTGAAAAAGATGTTGGTGGCAGCGGTGGCCCCTTTTCCTCAGGCTCCTGTGGCAGCGATGGTGGAGGCAGAGGGCAGGAGTCGCAGCTGGCTTTGGCGCTGTTGGCAGCAACCTGCAGCAGAGCCGAGTCACCTAGAAAGGAGAGGGATTCCTAGGGTCTGGGCCAGTCAGAGGCGCAGGTGAACCTGACCTCACGGCCTTTCAACTTTCACAGGGGGCCAATGACTGACAGATCACCTCTTCCTCCTCTGAGGCTACTACTGTCCCAAAGAAACAGGGTAGCAACAGCACCGACACCGGCCATGACCGTGAGCCTTCCAAGAACCGCGGTCTCTGGTGGGCAGTTTGCTGTGGCTGCCGCCTCCGACTTACAGAAGTACCAGTTCCCCAGAGTGATGCCTAATATTCAGTATAAAGTGATCCCACAGTTCCCGACGCTGACGGGCAGCAGCCAAACCTGTCCCCCTCCAAGGCCTGACTAATAACGTACTCTCAAACAGACTCCATGTGTGACTGACGTCCCAGAGCCCCCGAGTGGAAGCCTTGTTCTGCTGCTCTATCAGCAGCATTTCTACCCTTACCTCGACTCCCAGTTCTCAGGCAGTCACCATCAGCAGCTCTGGATCCCAGGAGAGCGGCTCACAGCCTGTCACCTCAGGGACCTCCATCAGCTCTGCCATCTCCCTGTCCTCACACGCTAGTTCCAGCTGCTTTTGCACCAGAGCCCATAGGCACTCAAGAACCACGACCGCCAGCAACGTGGAAGTTATGAAGTTTACTACCGGTAGATGATCAGGGACCAACTCTCAAGGCCAGATGCTCCAGGTCAGCGGGCTACGGGAGCCCTGTGTTCTGAACATACGGCAGAACCAGACGCTGGGAAGCTCGCTGCATGGGAGTCAGCAAAAAGAGGCAGAGTGAAACCAGCAGACATGGTAATGACAAATTCTTCTTCCTCTTAGCTAGTTCAAGGGGGACAGCTCTTCAGCCCCCCCCCCCAAGCAGCACCATCATCAGGGCGGACCTTCACAACTCAAGCTACTTCCCAAGGAAACCCTCCAGAGCCTCCAACGTAAGGCTGTTCCAGACTCTGCTATCATCATCATTTGAGACGCCAACAGTGAGGGTCAAGGGACACGTCAGTCAGCAGACACCATTCCTGCAGCTGCAAGGTCTCCAAGTTCAGAAGCCACAGGCCCAGACAATCACCTTGCCTCAAGTGCAGGGTATTTGCTTGGAGCAGAATAGCAGCAGCGATGTCGCCCTCTGCCTCAGCTGCCTCCATTCCTGCTGCATAGTCAGGTGAATGCTGCTCAGCTCTCCTCCCCACCAAGCCTCCAGGTGATTAACCTCAGTATTGGGTACTTCAGGGAACCAGACCCATCTCCTAGCCTGCCATTGGCTGTCAAAAATACCCCATTTGATCACGGAACTCACCTTGACCTCCATGAATCTATTGGTGACAGGATACATAGGAGACGTCAGGTGGGGAAGAGAACAGCCCTGATCCCTATGTCTAAGCTGGTCAGAGGGCCCAGTGGGACACATGTATCTGACCCTACTGTAAAGACAGCAGAGGGGTGGGGGTGGGGGTGGAGGACTCTGGAGATCCAAGCATAAAAACAAACCGTACATCTGCCATATTGGGGTGTGGCCCAGAATATGGCAAGACCTCCTACCTCCAGTACTGTGCAGCTGGCATGTAGAGAAGAGGCATGCTTGTGTGTTCCTGGTCACGCTGTGGGAGACACTTGGCACATCCAGATGAGCTGCAGAGACATAAAACACACACGCACGGGGGAGATGAGGTTTGCCCACTCTGAGTGCCCTAAGAGCTTCTTGAAGAGTAGTCATCTGTCAGAGCTCTCAAGGCCCGCCGGATTAAGAAGGGAGGCCCTGGCATATCTCTGGGTGGTGGAACCTTGCCTCTGGATGGATGAGGCAAGTTTGGAAGGCTGCAATAATGCCGCCACTTTATCCTTCATTACCGCCAGTATGGAGGCTATCTGCCCAGAAGATATTGCCCATATTGCCACCAGTGGCATCAATGCCATACAGGTGGAAGATTTGTAGTCCGCAAATACCAGTGGCAGTGATTTCTGAGATTAGACAGCTGGGTTTAGGGACACAGGAGCTGATTAGCCATCAACCGTGGGGTGCAAGGTGGTATGGATCCAAGAGACGTGTAGAAGAGAGAGCCATGAGGCAGGAAGGTGTGCGGTGGTGGGAAGAACTGGAAGACGACAAGAGAACAGATGTGGCACCATCTACGTCAGCAGTGCCTCCGTGACTGTGGAAAATACTCATGAAAATTCATGTTACCCTTTAGGGAGAACACCTTAGTGCGCCTTTTTTCTCTCTTCCTCCCTCCCTGTCCCCCTGTGAGGGAACTGGTAGGTCGGAACTATTAACTGTTTGGACTGCATTTCATTCTCCTCCACGCTCCTCTGTGTGCCGCTCCAATCAGTAGCCCAAAGTTCTCTCTGGAACAGCTGAGGCTCACCACACATGCTGACCTCGTTCACCTGTGGCCAGGCTTGGCCACTGTACACCTCCCTCTCTTCTCATCCTCCCTTTCTCGTCCCCTCCCTGGTGAAGGTCGGATTACTCCAACACTCCTCAGCTCAGATCCTCCTCTGGAGAGCAGAGACCTGCCCACGCCACATGCTGTCCACACTGCCTGACCACAGAAGGGTGTCATCTCCCTTTCCAGAGAGCCCATCCTTCAGGAAGTCCACTGCTGAATTCTAGAGCCACAGCCAGACAACTCTCTCTTACTTAATGAATGCTCATTTTTTCTCTTTTAGTTTTATAGCTGCCAGTCAATCTGGCAGATAATTCTAGGACAACACTCTGTGTTTAGGCATGCTGGGCAATGTAGACATGACTCTTAGAAATTGAATGTTATTCTGTTTGGAAGGGGGGTAATTGTGTAATGAAGTAGCAGGAAGCCCAAGGAGAACTTTATCTTCTAAAATAGTTTTGATGTTTCTCTGGCTTTTCCCCCCCTAGTCTAAGCAGTTACACAGGCTCTCAGTGAAGCCCTGAAAGGCTGAAAGGGATAGCTTTAGAGCAGTGTCTGATGAATGTGCATTATTACATTAATATGGACTGCTGTGTTCTTTGAGGGTGGATCTCGTATGATCCAGGCTGGCCTTGAACTCACGACATAGCCGAGGGCGACATTGAACTTCTGATCTTCCTGCCTCTCCCTCCCAAGTGTTGGGATTGCAGGTACGCACCATTAGGCCTGGCATACATATGGATTCCATCACAATTGGTTTCCAGTTTATTTGATTTCTACATGGTGAGTGGTCTGAGAGTCTACTGACCCAGGAGTCCCCATCCTCATGAACCAACCATGTCAGTTCCTCTCAGTTGACTTCATGCTGTCATGAGTAACATGGGGGTGGGGATCGTGCACTCTAAAGTGGGATGGAGCCCCAGATCTGAAGACAGCAGCTCCAAAGGCAGCTTGTCTGGAGGGGAGTCCTCAGTGAACTGTGATCCTTCTTCCCCTTGGGATACATCAGACACCAGTGCGTGGTGCTGCCCCGTGGAGCAAGTGACGGGCTCACTCCCGGGACAAGACTAGCGTGCTTGTGGTACTCGGACGGCTGTGGTAAAGGTTTGGGGGGCAGTGCATGATAAAGCTGCCAGACACTGGCATGCTGGTGGCTCCAGGAGGTACGGCCCTGGGCTTTGCCTCTTCAGTCTTCATCCTCATATCAATCCATCTTGGAGTGAGTCCTTGCGCGGCATCTGGTGTCCCCCACCTGTCTTCCCGACACCTTCCCCTAGCCTCTCTCTTGAGCAGTGACTCTCAGGGCCAGGCTTTACTGAGCATACTTCAGAATGCTCCTGTAGGTAGGGTGGAGCCACTGGGATGTTCCCAAGTTGGACTCACCCCTTGTCAGCCAGCCCTGAACCCAAGACTTTCCAAGATGTTGCCTGTCCTGTGTCCATTGGCTCCCAAACCGCTGCCTATTCCTGGCTTTAGATGCCCAGCCCGCCCCCCTCATTCTAGCCTCTCCACCCTCCCCTTTAGCTATGATGGGCCACACCCACTGACAGTTACAACTGCTCACAGTGGACCGTTTAGAATTCTGCTTCCTCCCAGGCAGCGCTAGAGTTGTGGTCCAGTAGCAAGAACACAGAGAAACCCTTCTGGCTGGCCATGCCACCCTGAGTGCTGTCTGCCCTCTCTACACTGTTGTCGGGTAAGGCTACCACACGTGTGTGGTCAGAATCTGACATCAAGAGGGGCAAAGTCCGCATCAGTGGGAAGAACATGTGTATGGTCAGAATTCAGTATTAAGAGGGGCAAAGTCCGCATCAGTGGGAAGAACATGTGTATGGTCAGAATTTAGTATTAAGAGGGGCAAAGTCCACATCAGTGGGAAGAACATGTGTATGGTCAGAATTTAGTATTAAGAGGGGCAAAGTCCGCATCAGTGGGAAAAACACTTCCTTTGCTCTGAATGATTATTCAGCGATAGTGGCCTCTGACTGAGGGGATCTGCAGCCTTCTCCTGTAATTCAGGGGAGGGTCCCTTATAGAGAGATGGTAACTCAAACTGTTCATTTGGTCCCGGAGACTGCCTGACTGGAGCTACCATCAATTTTGCATGGATATTCTATACTGGGAAGACAGACCTGTCATTTCCTCCTAGTCTCTGTCCACAGGCTTGAGTGCTTTGTAGAAGATTCTAGCCCTATGGAGAAATATTAGAGCCTCCACCAGAACACAGGAACAACTGCACTTTCTCCAAACCTACAGACAGGTCTCTGTTGCCCCATATTGTCTGAGAAAACACACCCTTCTGAAACTGCAGCTCACACTCACCTTGATGGGCCTTACAACACAACACGCCCTTACATCCCAGCTGCCAGAGCAAGGGTTTGTGTTTTTCCTGAGCCTGACACTTGCTACTGTCTCCACTAAGCTCCACGGAGTCAGAGGAGTCAGACCTGGGCTCACCACCCTCCCTTGGTGTCAGCTTCTGTTTCCATTTTACTTGCAACCCTGACTTCCCAGCTGTCTCTACCCCACAGGCTAAAAACTTGCCCGTGAATGTTCATTCCTCTTTATCGTCGTCCAGAGAATGGTTTCAGTGCATCGTGTTCTGGAGGTGCTGGTGAAGCCCCATTCTTTACAGCCTCAAATCTAGTATGCCGATGCTCCAGGATGGGCGAATCGGGGCTTAAAGGCATCCAGAGCATCGTGGACGCAAGAAGGACCCACTAGGGAGGCAGGGCTGGCCCTGATGCTACCGGCGGCCTCCCTCCCCCATCGAGAGCAGCATCTTTTTGAGTCCCTTCTCTAACTCTGTCCACACCGTTTTCCTCATTTCTCTATATTCAATGTACAGTACAACTCAGGGCATCAGGGCTAGACTGCCTGTGGCCTCCGCCTCTAGCCTGCAGCCCCGATCTCAACATGAAGTGCCTGGTCAAGCTGCTTGTCATGATCTGAACATGGCTGCTTCCATGTCCTCTGCGGTCGCCACCTGCCTCTGCTGATCTGCAGACCTTGCCGCCCTGCTGTCTTCTCAGAAAACATAACTGAGGTTATGAGATCCACATCCCTGCAGCTCCCCGTGCCTTTCTACACACTGGACCGCGTATCTGGACTCCTAGCCTCCTTCGGGTGTCTCTAACAAGACTAGAGCCTGCAAGCATCTAGCCAGCAGTTCTTCCGGGGAGTATTAGCTGCTATCTGAGGGCCCATGGCTCACAGAGCATAGCCCCCCCCCCCAAGCCCTTCCTGTCTGGTTGGACATTCTCTTCCTTTTGCCCCTGTGCTATAGGGTGGCTCCCCGCAAGCCATCCCCATGCCCCGCAAAGCATCCCCATGCCTTTTCTAAGTATCACCACTGTCCTCCCCAGGATGGACCTAGCTTGCTGATCACTATCTGACAGAAGCCACACCCAAGGTGAGTCTGGTCCCCAGTTCACTGCCGGTGCATAGATTTCCCATCATCTCATATTTTCACACAGCCTCTCTATTGAAGACACTTTGAACTTGCCCTCTGTGGGTGAAACATGTGCTGTTGATTCTTGCTGTGTGCTAGAGCCAAGCTCTTTGGGATAAGGAGCTGGCTCTGGCCATGCTGGGCCATGGAGAGGCATCTCAGCCCCTACTCACCTGCGTTATTCCCAGTCCAGAGCAGTGGAACTTGTATAGGACTGCTCCTTTTTTAGAAGCCAATTTCTCTGCAAGCCCAGCCCTCCCTCACCCCAGCTGAACTGTTATGGATAAAGGCCGGGCTTGGCCTTGTACTTCTTAGCAAGAAAGGAACTTGGAGGCATCAGCCTGACGTCCCCGGCGGACCTGTGGACCAGGCCCGGAGCTCCTCCTGGCTTCCTTTGCAAGTTGCTGTCTGTGAGATCTCAAAGGCATCTGTTGATTTAGGTGTGGCTAATGGTTGTTCTTGCCCAGCAAGTACAAAGCTGACTGGCTACAAAGGAGACTAAACGTTTACTATCTGGCCCTCTATAGAAAAGGTTGGCCAATGCTAATGGAGATCCCTGACTTTGTAGCCTGCTACCAGAACAAAAGCCACCTGCCTGCAGACCTCTAGGCCAGTGATTAACCTGAGAGGATGAGGGGTGAGCATCTGGTCACAGCCTCGGGGAGAGAGCACAGTTCCCACAGAGGCGGGAAGCTGACATGACAGACAGATGTGCCCCATTTGCCTCAGGGGGTGCTTCGTCTTCTCTTGCCAACGGGCACCTTGTACATGGCCCGACTCCTCTTCTGGGCCTCCCACTGCTGGCTGCCACAGTTTCTCCCCATGTGACGGAACAAGGCAGAGAAAAGGACGCACCTACCAACAGCACCCACTCCGACCCACAGGAAGGACTGCACCATGCCGTCCATCAATGGCACAAACCTACCCTTCATTTCGTCTGCTCAACAAGATGCCAGCGTGCCTGTCCTCCCACAGCTCCACTCTGGCGCTCAGTCCAGAGCAGAAACCAGCTTCCTCAGACCCTGATCGCCTCCCACAGCTCAAATCCTATCACAGCTGAACGCAGCTCATGACAGAGTCTTTGCCAGATCCTCTGTCGGCGGCACCTTGGACTCATTACAACAAGCCTCCAGCTGGCCAGGACCCTCCACCATGTTCAGACACCTCCACCGGCAAGTACCAAACCAGGCATTGTTGTTGCTAAGACTTGCTGAGTGGTCTTGGCTGGCAGGCATTGGCACTGGCAGGAAATAGGGCCACCACGCTGCTGGCAGGTACTGGAATCTGATCAGCGCTCACTGGGATTTCCAGGTTCTTGTTTCCTGGTAAAAGAAACGGCCCAGGGACATGTGAATAGTAGTAGCAGCAGAGACAGTTTATTAAGGAAGAAAGCACCTCCAGGGGAAAACGTGGGCCAGAGTTTGAAGAAAGGTCAGAAGCTCAATGGCGCCAGCGCCTAGGGGTCATTGTAGAGTGTAAGCTTTTTGTGGATCTGCTATGCGTTGGCTTTGGAGGGGATGGGGTCAAGTCCTCTCTGTCGATTGGTTTCTTTCATATGCTAATGCAGACCTACCTCTCTGCCCTGCTCCCCTGACACAAGCCCCGCTGTCACTAAGGGCCATGCTGGCTGTTGGTCCTTTTCCAGGTTCCAGGTCACAAGGCCCATGCCAGTAGTTCTGCTTGTAGATCAGCAGCAGACTACTAATAAAGCTTTCTCCCGACTGGAGGCACAGCTGTCCTGGCTTTTTTTTTTCTTTCAGTGATGTGATGATCATTTGGGTCACTTTAGTCCCCTGTTTGGACTGACAATGTCACAAAGACCGATGGACCGGGTTCTCCAGTTCCTCGGGCACCAAAGTAGGCAGTGTTTGATGCTATTGCAGAGGAAGCCTCCAGGCTGGGGCCCGCCCAACCTGGTCCTTGCGTTGGTTGCTTTAAGAAACTCTGGAAAGCAAATGCCTTTTCTGTCCCCATCTCACAGGCCTACCTAGAAGCCTGGTGTCATGCTCAGCTGGGAAAATGGTGAGACATGTAATTCTCAGCAGTTCCCTACAGAGGGGGCACATCTCAGACCTGTGTCAGGAGGTGACTGGGCCATGTGCCCTGGCCTGAACACTCTAAGAGGTTCTTATTCTGGGGTGGCCACAACAGCGAGTCCAGGTAATAAGGTCAAGTGCTAAAATTTTCTTGGCTCTCACCCAAGATACAGGTCAGGAAGCTTCTCTCCTCTCTCTGGATATGAGCAGCTGGACCCAAGGGTGGGGGTGGGGGCAGGAGTCTCTTGATCATGCCCAGTGGATCAGCCCCCATGGCCCAGGCATGCAGCAGGAGGAAGAAGTAACAACAGCCCAGGCTGGCTGGCTTCTGCTCACAGAACTACTGAAAACTAACAAGGATGTCACCAGGCATCAGTGCTCGGGTGGTCATGGTCAGTGCTACCATCTGAGGTCACTGGGGCGCTGCCCTCCCTTTGGGTGAACAGCATTTATATAGGCAACCTTGGGCTTCCATACCCCCAGGTCTGGGATAGGCTGCAGAGGCAGGGCCTCCCTGGCCCTCCCCACATGTCCCTGTGCAGCTGAGGCTGTAACAGGTACTTAGAGACTTTTGTTACATAGCACTGATTCCTCACTTGGGCCCACAAAGCAACAAAGTCCAGGAAGAGAGCTTGGCATCTCTGCCTTGTTTTTATACTTTTCTCACCCACCTTCAAGGCTGAAATCTCAGGTAAGTTATTGTCCTAACCCTGAGGTTCACCTTGGATTCTAGGAGCCGCAAAGCCTCCCAGGACAGGCCATTTCTCCAGAGGAGGGCAATGATCTACGAGCATACGGCTGTACCTGGACCAGGGCTGCTGCACTATTTGTGGCTCCGTTTGTCCTGCACCAATTCTCTGGTTTTTTGGGGGTTTTTTGTTTGTTTGTTTTTGTTTTTTGTTGTTTGATTTGGTTTGGTTTGGTTTTGATTTTTCGAGACAGGGATTCTTTGTGTAGTTTTGGTGCCTGTCCTGGATCTCGCTCTGTAGTCCAGGCTGGCCTCGAACTCACAGAGATCTGCCT